CCTGTATTCAGGGAGATGATAAAGTTATTTTCATAATGTATCAAACAATCTCAGACTAATGAAGAGATCTAAGGTAGGGGGTAGAGTAGTTGAACAATTACAACCATTTTCCAGCCAGCCCCTGCCAGACTCTTATCTCTTATGTAACAAGGATTGGCCAGCAGAAAAGGAAACGGAGAAGGAAAATTTTTTCAAACAGGCTTTTCCCGACAAACTGCCTTTGGCATGTGGCTTTGTGCAGGGGAGGCCAGCTGGGGACCAGCCCCAAAGCTGAGCTGTGTTCTCTGCTGGGATTCTGACAGATCTGAGTCTACTGGGGGTCCTGACCAGGTGGGTCACCGTGAGACAGACTGTGGAGCCTTCGGGAACAATCTGACAGTGCTGTGGCTGTGTGCGGCTCTGCCCCATGGGCTCCTGTGTGGGGCCTGAGAAGAGGGCAGGAAGCTGTCTTAGGCTAAGACCCTAAGACGAGGGTTTGAGTGCAAGTAGTTTATTTGGGAGGTGACCCTGGGGAGCACCAACAGGGGAGTGGGGAGTGACAGGGAAAGACAGGTGGCTGAGAAAGGGCCCATTAAGTGAGTGAGTTTGTACTGGGGGCAAATGAGGCTGAATCCTGCTGGAGGCCTCCGAGCTGACAACTTGGGGGGTTTATCCTCCAGCTAAAATCCATCATCACTGGCTAAGGGCTATTCTGGAAGGACCAGCACCAGCCAGCTTTGGAGGTGGGGCCTGGCAGTGGAAGCAGTGAGCAGGTCCTGGAAGAATCAGTGCTGGGGGGATACAGGCCAGGCTCCCACGGTGTCTGTTGCACAAGCTCAGGAGGGACACAGGTGAACGAGGTGAACAGTATCTATGCCAGGACCTGTATGTGGCAGGTCGAGTTTATCAGTTCAGCTGGCTTTGGATTTTGTTGTTGCTATGGCAGAGGTCAGTGATCCACTAGCTTAAAAATCAGTGTTGAAATCAGATTTTTCTCAGCATCTGCTCCATCCTCAGCTTTAGACTTCCATTTGGTATGTGCATCTTGGAGAGGGTCCCTGCACATCTGTTCCATCCGCATGTAGACACCTG